AACAGTATGATACTAAACATGCTAACCATGCTAATCAACAACCTTAAAAAAAGAAACGACCAAGTTCCTACGAATAGCACAATGGAATGCCAATGGTCTCCCAAGCCACAAAGATGAAGTAAATTTATTCCTAACACAAAACCGAATTGACGTACTCCTCATCAGCGAAACTCATTTCATCAACAGAACGTACTTCAACATCCCGAGGTATAAGCTATACTGCACTAACCACCCAGATGGAACAGCTCATGGAGGATCAGCAATACTCATCAAGGACAATATAAAACATTATGAACTAATAAAACATGAAGAAAACTTTATTCAAGCCACATCAATAAAAGTAAGCTGTTTACAACACGAAATAACGGCGTCAGCAGTATATTGTCCACTACGACACAACTTAAGAAAGACCAATTTAAGACTTACTTCGGAACCCTAGGACCTAAGTTCATAGCAGGAGGAGATTACAACTCCAAACACACGCTATGGGGATCACGCTTAATTACCACCAAAGGAAGGGAACTTGCACAAGTAATTCAAGAAAACAAATACTCGATTCTATCAACTGGTTCGCCAACATACTGGCCCACAGATGCCAACAAAATTCCAGACCTATTGGACTTCTTTGTAATCAACGGAATTTCCACACCATATACAGACATAACACCTAGCTACGACCTAAGCTCTGACCACAGCCCCATAATTGCAATAATTGGCACAACCCTATTAAACAAAAACCCCTTACCAAGGCTACACAACCCAAAAACCAATTGGGATACTTACCGACAAATAATCCAGGATAACACTAAACTAGCAGTCAGGCTGCAATCCCCAGACGACATAGAAAGGGAAACTCAAGACTTTATCAATCTCATCCAACAAGCTGCAAGAGAGGCTACCCCGCGAATTAAAATGAAAAACGAGTCCCATCACATCTCCTGCGAAATAAAAAAGCTAATAGCACAAAAGAGAAGAGCACGATCAATCTGGCAGAGAACTCACACCCCAAATAGCAAAACAAGATACAACCAACTAAGTAACGAGCTAAAATCAAAACTAAGAGAAACAAGAAACAATTCATTTACACAATATGTTTCAAACCTCTCCAGATATGACAACTCCATATGGAAACCGATAAAAAGCAGAAATAAACCAACAACATCCACACCTCCACTGAGAAAAAACACAAACCCTCCTGGACCCTGGGCAAAAAATGACCAAGAAAAAGCCGAACTGTTTGCAGAACATCTAACTGAAGTTTTCACACCACTAAATAATAACAGAGACGTAAACGTTGACCAGATTCTCAACTCACCCATCCAGGACCAAGAACACCCAAAACGTCTCAACCCGAAAGAAATAAGGGAAGAAATTCACAGGCTAAATACAAAAAAGACGCCAGGAGTTGATCTCATCACAGCCACACTACTAAAGGAACTTCCAAAAAAGGGAATACTCAAACTCATGTACATATTCAACTCCATCTTAAGGAATGGCTACTGGCCCAAACCATTAAAAATCGCACAAATAATAATGATTCCAAAGCCTGGGAAAAATCACACTGACGTAACAAGCTACCGTCCAATTAGCTTGTTACCCATAATATCGAAACTTCTTGAAAAGCTTATCCTCAATAGAATTAATCACGACGCCAATCCAAATGACTGGATCCCTAATCACCAATTTGGCTTTCGACAGGCACACTCCACAGTACAACAATGCCACCGAATAGCTAATATAATCAACCAAGCTATGGAAAACAAACAATACTGCACTGCTGCCTTCCTCGACGTAAGCCAGGCATTTGACAAAGTTTGGCATCCAGGCCTGCTTTATAAAATCAGAAGAATTCTACCGGCCAAATATTTCGCAATACTGCAGTCGTACCTAACAGACAGAGAATTCGAAATAAAAATCAACGCTGAAGTATCCAACCGAAGAAACATACAATCAGGAGTTCCTCAGGGCAGTATCTTGGGTCCACTCCTCTACGTGCTATACACCTCAGATATACCGACCACCGAATTAACAAAAATAGGTACGTTCGCAGACGAAACAGCAATTTTCGCTACGTCAGAAGACCCTGTAACTGCTTCATCTAATTTACAAGAACATCTGAATCTAATGGAGAAATGGCTACACCGATGGAAAATCAAAGTGAATGAAAGCAAATCGGCGCATGTGACTTTTACTCTCAGGAAAGGTAACTGCCCCTCAGTACACCTAAATCATGTTATCATTCAACAGAAGGATGTAGTAAAATACTTAGGACTACACCTGGACTCAACATTAAACTGGAAACACCATATAGCGAAGAAGAGAAAACAAATCGAAATTAAGTTCAAGGAAATAAATTGGCTAATAGGTCGGAAATCTCACCTAACAATAGATAATAAACTACTGATCTACAAAACAATAATTAAACCCATATGGACATACGGCATTGAGCTCTGGGGATGCGCCAGCAGGTTCAACATAGAAATCATCCAGCGAAGTCAATCCAAAATACTTAGAGCCATAGTTGACGCACCTTGGTACGTGTCAAACCAAACTCTTCACACCGACCTCAAGATCCCATATGTAAGAACCGTAATCACAGACAGAATCCAAAAACATTATCAGAAACTGGAATCTCACCCCAACAACGCAATAGAAGCTCTCCTTCAACCTACACAATACAGAAGACTAAGACGAACTTGGCCAAACGATCTCCAGGAAAACTGAGGTGTAATCGATGGATTACAGCTCTTCAAGCCAACTTAGTACAATAGAATAATTATTGAACATGACAGCAAATTAGCTCATAGAATATAAATTCAGATTGCTAATAAATGATAAAAAAAATATATAACCTTGTTTAAAAGCAGCAGACATGGTACAGATTACTGTTCTTTAATTCTGTTTTTCTAACCTCAATCAACTTAAGTATTAAATTAAAAGTTGAATGTTCAGAATAAGTTGTAATTACACTATAATGATATTCCACTGCTCTAATGGCATTGTGTGGCCATACCATATTGCATTTAAACATGCTGAACTACCCTGAGTGGTGGCTGCTCACTATGAAGAGACCCATCTTCAGGGCCCCAAAATAAACCACCCAATTGAGCTACAGATGTCAATGTTATAGAGAATTAGTAATCCACTTTTGCGAAACTTCAATAACACTATATGCTTCCCACCACGGCATTTTTCTGTGATTAACAGTACATACACATCTTCAATTCCAACTTGTGACATGGTAACACTTCAGGAACTCTTTATGCTGGAATATTTGAAAAGTGTAGAACTTTCATAAATACTTTTTCCTAATAGAAAAATGGGTTATAACATGTCAATCATAAAAATATTTTAGTGTGACGATGATGACTGGTGAGTCATTGTGACTTTACACGTGAAATTCGAATGCATGGATGGAACCCTAAACACCCCCATGCTCAACAACCAAGCATGCAGACAAAATACTCTCATCAAAATAACACTGGTATGTTATGGAATGCCACAGAGGGTACTGGACATGTCACATATATGGGAAATGGAAATACGCCTCTTCCCTCAATGGGAAAGACATAACTGTAGGTGAAATCATAACATTAGAAGTAAACTTAGGGTGGAAAGGTGTACAGTAGACTGAAGTGGCTCACTATAGAGTCCAATGAAGGTGGTATCAAACCTACGGGTTGAATAGAAGCTGCAATTTCTTGACCAGGTGAGTTGCTGTCAGCTTTTCTATGCAGCCTTTGTACGAGGGAGGCAGTATTATGACAGAAAGCATACAAAATTCATTTACTTACATCATCAATTAATGCCACAACTTGTTGTTTGTTATCAAGCCCCTTGTATGGTCCAATCATTGGCAATGCCTGACCTATGACATTTTTGACTGCAGGAACTGGTTTAGTAGGTTCATTGCAACTTCTCAAAGGAGGTTTTAGATTTTCTGCTAGTAAATCTGCTTGCTTTTTTATTTCGGAAATCTTTTCCTCTCTCAGACTTTGGTAATGTCCAAAATAAGGCCATTTCTGAAAGCAAAAACAAATACCATAAAATCTACACCCCTTGATCTCTACACAATTAAAAAAAAACAGTTGCTTCAGTGACATGCAACGCGAGAAATGAATGGATAGAAGAAGGATACTGAGAGGGGCATTACAATTAGAATTAAGGTTTAAAGGAAAGAGACCTATGATATGACTCTGAGCAGGAAGGTTCAGTCAGGTACCAAGAGACATCAGGAAGAGAGGAAACAAATGTCAAATCTCGGCCTCGACATGCCAGAACCCTATGGGCTTCCAAGGCCTGTTACAGGGATAGCTTTACCTTTCCTTTATGGTTGTCCTAGAGTTTTAGGATTCTAAGTTTCCTGTCTGACAATACCTCAACTTTGACAGCCATCCCTGCTTCAGTCATGATGTACTCCACTGGCAGCATCTGAGGAGACAATGCATTGTTCAGATGCTTTGGCATGGCAGAATGTGTGGCATTGTCCACCGCCGAGTTCTTTAAGTTTTTCTTATTTTTTAAGTTCCTTGAGGTGGGGTGAATCAGAGTCCACTTGGTACATCAGCAAGTATAGTATGCACAAAAATTATCATTATACTGAAACTCGCGCATCTCGAACACACATGTGCATTTGTCGACGGGGCATAGCTCCAGCTACACCTGTTCCCAGTAGTGAAAAGAAAGTTGTTGTGCAGCTGTTGTTGGAAATGGGTCTCTCAATGGAGGAAAAAGTATTCATAGTTAAGTATTATTTCTGCTCATACGGAAGTGGTCGTGACGGGCCACCGAGTTTGAAAAGGGTGACACAACAATTCCAAGAGATATAATAAGATGGCACCTTGGTTTTGAGCAGCCAGATGTTATCGTCCAGAAACTGCTACATAGTGCACGTGTGACGATATGGTGTGCCATCTCAGCACACAGTATATTAGGCCCCTATGTCATTGAGGATGAGGAACGCAATGCTCTTACTGTCACCCAAGAACGCTACAGGGACATGGTGATTGCACAATTTCTTCAGGATTTGAGAAGGTTCTGTCGCACAAGGGGCCTTCACATGAATATACAGTGGTATCAACAGGACAGGGTGACCAGCCATACTGCTCAAGAATCTCTACCCATGCTGCAGGAAAACTTTCCAGGGTGAATCATTTCACATGGTACTGACTTCCCATACTCATCCCATTCCCCCAAACTTACACCATCTGATGCCTGCTTGTGGGGAATGTTAAAGGATAGTGTGTTAACTGTGAAGATCCACCAAGAACTGTGCCTGCATTACACGAGCAAATCGTCTACTTTTGCAGGAGTCTGCAGCAACCTTTGTTCCAGGATATGACTGAGAATCTGCGTGAATGAATGAATGTATAAGGGGCGAGCCTTCTTGGCCCCTGCACCGCGACCATAGTGATCTACAGTGGCTCCCCTTTTCTGTGTGAATGATATGAACACTTGCTATGCGATGAGATCAATTAAGCCTTTTATGTCACAGGAAACACTGAAGATGGTTTACCATGCCTACTTTCATTCTGTTACGAACTATGGATTAATATTTTGGGGGAACTCTTCACATAGTGTAATCATTTTTAAAATACAAAAGAATATAATTAGAATCATTACAGGATGTAGAAGTAGAGATTCATGTAGAGAATTATTTAAGAAATTAAAAATTCTACCTCTTCAATCGCAATACATATTATCGCTTCTCTTATTTGTTGTTTACAACAAAGATAAATTCAAATTAAATTCTGATGTCTATAACATGAATACTAGACAAAAATATAACTTCCACCTACCCTCATCAACTTTATCAGTATATCAAAAAGGAGTCTACTTTACTGGCATAAAAGTGTTCAACAATCTGCCACAAAGTATTAAAAACTTGGGCAATGATACTAAAAAGTTTAAATCAGAGTTAAAGAATTATCTACATGCTCATTCCTTCTACTCTTTAGATGAATACTTCAATGTAAATAGAGAATGATGTAAAATTAAGTTATATTAATTTTTAAGCTAAAATTGCCTGTACTTATGTATGTAACCTTTTGACTTGTTCTGTATGTAACCTTTTGACTTGTTCTGTATCCAAAGGTACTAACCTGCTTAGGATTTATAGAATGTAAATAAATGCAATTCAATTCAATTCAATACAGTGAGGCGGTGCACACTTTGAAAACTTACATTACGCATACCATGGCAAATCAACATGCTAATAATGTGTATGTTTATGTTAGTTTCTTTCAGGAGAAATAAACTCACAGATGACAACAAGGTAATACTGTTCGTCTTTTCATTTCAGTACTGAATATTTTGGCACATACTGTATTTGAACTAATGTACCAGTCCTGAATAATAGACGATGAATGTGGAGCAGTTGGTTGAATGAGAAATGGCAGGGGAAACCGAAGTACTTGGAGAAAACCCAACCCAGTCCACTCTGTTTAACCACAAATCCCACATGATCTGACCTGGACTTGAACCCAGACCACAGGTTCTTTAAGTCTTGCTTTAGAGACTTAAGGCAAGTCACAGTGGTATTTAAATTGATCATGGTTGTCATACTGTTGGGTGATGAAGGACATACTGTCTGTCATTATCTTTTGAAGAAATGTGGACAGCCTTTGGCATATGTGATATAGCCAACCAGGATCCAGTCTGCATTAGCCAACTCTGCACTAGTTGCATGTGCATCTCCAAGAGTTCCCTAGGAATTTCATCCAAGTTGCAAGGTGTGAAATGGATGTGTTCATGGAGCAAGGAGAGAAAACTGGTCGACTAAGACAGATTCTTCTAGTGACTTCAAACTGTATGAGAGGTTGGAACTGCATAAAATGTGAAATGGTGCTCTGGTTCCTGCACCTAAGAAGAAAGCACATAGAGCTGATAGCTTCACTGTCTTGGCAGGGTGAAACCCATGTCATACTGCCTCCACATAAAGATTGCCAATCTGAGGTACTGAAGTTTTCATGGTGGTGACACTGTGCAGTAATGTTAAATCCTCAGTGATGTCAAATGTAAAGAATCACAGTGGGAAGTACAGGAAATACAGTGATGGATAACGGGACCAATCTGCTTGGCCAGCACACTTATTGTTTCTCCATGAAGAAATATAACATATTGTGATGTATATACCCATTGTTAGGCAAGGGTTGGTAAATACATTTCCACAACACAAGTGCACGTGACAATAGGTCATCTCTTGCTAGGCAACAGACCTGTAAATATGCCTTCACAACAATATAGGAAGTGGTGTTTTCCATGGGGTACACTCTGAGGATATATAACGAAGACCCCATGCAGCTAGAATGAGAACCCAGTGTGGAGGTGGGGTCGAATACCTCCACCATGACCCTGCGAGTCGTAGGAGGTGACGAAAAGGGAAGTATCAAATTTGAGACAGTAAAACATGGTCACGAATCCCAAGGGACTCGGACCCAAAAAAAGACTGCGCTGGCAAGGTCCAGCAGCATATACTAAACACACCCATCCTCTCATCAGAGAGGGCGCCCCACAAAAACAAGACTGTAACTGTCAAACAGCAATAAATATCTGGTCACGAGGCTCACATGGGGCTCAACACCAAGAATTACTGACTGATTGACTGACCGTCAGTCGCAATGTAACTTTGACTTTGACTAGAATGAGAATTGGATTGAGTTTTGGAGATGGAAGTTGAAGGTGATTGAGAACAAATGGCAAGAAAGGAATCAGACTGAGCCAAGAAGACTTCATGTGTGAGTTGAATTTACAGTGGGACTGTAATAATCCCAGTGCCAGGATATAACTAGGGAAGACAGATAATCTTTAGTGCATGTGCAACAATGAGCTGGAAGTATGAAAAATAGTGACAGCAACGTATTGTCTGTAGTCCCAAACTGTGGGAATGTATAAGATGCAATAAATCCAACCATTCAATCCGAAACCCATCTTTCATGTCACCCTTACATGTGGAAATATTTTGATTTTGTATTACTATACAATACTTTTATATAGACATTGTGGTTGAAATGTCTCACACTGACATCCGGTTATGCAGATATGTGGTAGATGGAAAGAACACAAAGACATATTTATTAACAACATGGAATAACACTCACGGTAAGGTGTACCGCAGTACAAATGCTATGAAAGTCACACACAATATTATACACTTTAACGGCAATAATATAATACATGCCCATAAGCTATAACCTATTTAGCTTATAAGTAAATCTAACACTGCATGCAGACAGAATTTTATTTACAAGATTACAGATGTAAGTATTTTCATTAAACCTTGTTTGCTTGAGTTCTGAGGTATAATCAGAACATCAAAAATTATACATTTGAATTTGACTCACCACTTTAACATATCTCCAACGTTTGATTTTAAAGCCTTACATTGGTGTGCAGTACCTGAACACAACTAATATTCAACATAAACCCAAAACATGAAAAAATTTGCCACTTGTGAAAGAGCAGCACAATTTTGTGAAGGCATGATTCATACCTGAGGACTGATTTATGGTATATCTACAACTGCATATCCTAAATAAGCCCAGCTTGTTTCAGGCTTGGAGCTTCAATCCTGGACCACATGGCATTTGTACATTCTAGAGGCATGAAAAGAAAGTGGGAAGCCCCTTGTTTATCTGAGAATTGTGTTATCCTTCCAAATAAAACTCTTCATTGAAGAGAAAACAAAAAAAGTGTCTAGGGACTCTGAAAGGTAACAATGTAGACCATTAACTGGGTTGACTGGTCAGTCTTCATTGAGGTGGCACTCTCAATATCATGTGCAGGAAGTGCAGGCAAAATAAGCAATCCTGCTCACATACTGTACTTCATCAATGCCCAGCTTTGTCTTGGCATAACATATGGAACTTGGTCTCTGCATGGTTAGAGCTGACAGATATCAGAAGGGCCCCACTGCGGATGGTTCTGGCTCTGATATCATGGTCAGGGGCTCTCTGTTAAGTCCCTCACAAGATCAGGGGTGCATAATGGACCCTGCACAGAACTTGGAGTGCGTGAGGTTGTACCATCCAAATCAACAGAAATACAGTTGTAAAATATATCATCACTTGTTACTGCTTAGAAGGGAATCTGATTTCATAATTTTATTTATTGAACACTTATGACTCATAACTACAAATAACTATAACACTCTCACTAACCTACATACTAAACAATTCACTACAGCACACACTAAATCTTCTCGGTTTGTTCTGTCTTCACAAGTTGTTCTTCATAGCATCTTGTAACAACTTAGATTCCTCTGCATCCACGTTCATGGCTAACCACCAACTGCGAATGTTGACTTACAAGTCACAGCTAACTGCCAACTTCCAAACTGACTCACCTATGGTCCTCATTATATAGCCTCAGCATGGACTGCACAAAACAGACCACTTCCCCAGTTATTCCTTTGTTGCATGCATACCTGTTGTCACAGGAACATGTTCACCGGGTCACTGCCTAGCAACTGCCACATCTACCAGCTTCCTTATTCCACCATTCAGGTGTCATGTCACACTGCTCCCTCCTTAAGACTGCTCATCCTCAATAGCTTAAAGGCATAATGTCATTTATTTTTTTTTCCCTATGGAGGGTGCCTGTAATGTCTTTGATCTCCTTTGTGAACGGCACCTCAGCATCGTGCTAGCCCCTGATGTTTCTGCTCCTGGTTTCAATGGTGTTCAGCCTTCACTCCTCATAGCCTTGGTCTTGCACTGCTGTTCCCCAACTGCTCCCTCCTTACAGCTTCTCATATTGAGACCATGGTCCTTTAGCAGGAGCACCTACCTCAATGTGCTTCTGCAACCAGAAGCCCCCACTCATATATCAGTGAGCTGGTTGGCTTACAAGTTCCCTACATGGCCTATATAATCCTATACTTTTCCATGTGCAATTTGCTTTGCTTGTTGCATGCCTCATGCTGGTTTCTTGTCTGGCTTACCTTCGATCCTGAAGATGGAGGTGATATCCTTTGAAACGCCCATTGACTTTCACCAACATTTTAATTCAGAAGGCCCATTCTAATACCATTCTGCCTTCTCCATTATGTAACACAAGTGGTCTCCATCTTTCAGCTTTCAAACCAAAATTTTCTAGGATCTGCTGTCTCCCATCCTTGCTACATGCCTCACCCATATCATATTCATTGATATGATCACCCTAAAATTATGGTGATGAGTATCGATTATGACGCATAATGCACTGATGCACTGAAGACCTGACCAACTTATGATACTTATGGTGATCACTAAATCTGTCATATTGGTATGTTAAGCATGCAGATACAAAAGCAGTGTTTTAAATGGAAGAAATTAACTTAAATAAAATATGTCTGTAACATACAGAATGAATGGCTTTATTGCACTGCACATTTCATAAGCTGTGTGCTAAGAGAAAGAGAATCTGATACCTTGTTCCTTATATCTTGCAAGACAACAACTGGCTTTCCTCGTTGATGTTTAGCTTTTGGTGGTGACTGGCCATCCCATCCTGAATGATGTTCCAAACTCTTGAGATAAAGTAATGCTTTCAGCCCAGTGATGTAGTCATCTATGAGAGTGAAGTCCTGGTTCTGAATGGCACTTCCAATCTAATTGAAAGAGAAACTGTGCTATAAAGTCTTTACAAAATATGCAGACAAATAATCATACTGTGAGCAGTTTGAAAACTAAATAACTGCCAGAGCTGTGTGAGATATGCCAACTTCAACCAGACTGTTGAATGTACTATATGTGCAAATGCTTAATGTGAATTTTATATATTAAATGTTAACAGGTACCAGTAATTGGTTTGGATAATAAACTTGCCAGCTCTCATGGGCTATATAATATTGTCACATGTTAGTGACTACACATAGGCTTTGGACTGATAATTGGATTCATTGAACATTTATAGCTGGTAACTATAAATAACTGTACATACATACATTTCATTTCACAAGTCCAAACAAATGGACATGAAGGTCGTCATACAAAAATTTAAACAAACACACAGATAACGAAATAATTAAAACTAATTGCTTATGTTATGCTCCACATATTCAGAAACTGTATAAAAGGAATTATTCATAAGATATAAAAACAAATTTAAACAAACACACAGATAACAAAATAATTAAAACTAATTGTTTATGTTATGCTCCACATATTCAGAAACTGTATAAAAGGAATTATTCATAAGATATAAAAACAGCCTATTTTTAAAACTAATTCTATCCTCTTTAAGGCTTTGAATGGTTATGGGCAATCTGTTGAATAGTTTAATGGCAGTAAACATAGTACCTTTCTGAAAAGCAGAAAGATTCGAGTTTGGCAAATACAATTGCTTTCGATTTCTTGTATTCAAACCATGAAAATCTAAACCTGAACAAAATTTAGTTTGATTATCAATCACAAACATCATCAACGAGAGAATGTATTCACATGACGATGGCAGTATATTCAATTTCTTAAAAAGTTCCCTACAAGAGTAATGCTATCACTACACCTAACCACTTTACCCATAGTGTGTGTGTGTGTGAATGTAAGGATGTGTGCGCATGAGAGTGTGAGAGATGGTGAGAGAGTGTGTGAGATGGTGAGAGAGTGTGTGTGAATGTGAGTGAGTGAGTGAGTGAGTGAGTGTGAGTGAGTGTGAGTGAGTGAGTGAGTGAGATTTGGTATATCAAGTGATTAATTTGTGCAGCAAGATGCTTAAATATAATACCGTTGAATGTATTCCTTAAATAATTAGATAATGTGGCCATTTCTATGTTAGAGACATGTTCTTTCGCATATCATAAATTATCTTCTATTTTTTTCAGTTTCTCTAAATTTAGAGTGAAAATATTTTATTTCCTGTCACATTATTTCACTGATTATTTTCTGCTGAATTTCATTTATAATATAACAGACATGTATGAATGAGTACCTCAGCTATTCCTTTACATAGCCCCTGACACATTCTGCATTAATTTTCTACAAACATCTGCCTAAGAATAGACTTTTCACCCCAGAAATTTTGTTCTTTTTGGGAAGTATTATCAAGTATGTACTTCTGGCTATTACCAGTACATACACACTCAAGAATGTGATCACATGTGCTGTTGGCTATCAGTTGTGTATACATACACAGAGACATATAAATTATAAACCTTGCTACAGAAAATATCTCCATATGAAAATCTGTGTCTCAAGAAACAAACATGCACACACACACTGTACATACATGCAATATTCATCCATAAAAGTATTCCCCAAAATACAAGTATAAGAATACATACATAGCCAATAACATTATTCCCATTTACATAAGAATACATATACAGCCAGTAAATAGCCAATGACAAGATTCTCCACAATATTAAAAAAAGTACGAAAATTTGCTTCCATCAATTCTGCTGTACCTCTCTGTCTAAAAAGTATCTGAGCTTGGGCTGGGAAAACAAAGTTCTGTATCTGGGTGATTACAACACCTAATCCCCTTCAAACTAAGCCCCTTGTGACTCCACACACTTAGCCCAGTGGTCCTTCCATCGTTGGAAGCGATTCTGGAAGGTTTGTTTTGGAATGGTGTGCAGCTGCACAGTCGCGTTCTGTATGAGGTCCTTGTCGCTGTAAAAACAGGAGCCTTTTAGTGGTGTCTTCAATCTCAGGAACAGCCAGAAATCACAAGGAGCCATGTTAGGTGAGTAGGGAGCCTGGCAAACCTGTGGAATGCTGTGCTTGGCCAGGAAACTTTGGATCAGGTGTAACGAATGAGCTTGGGCATTGTCATGATATAGCTGCCAGTTGCATGCATCACACAGCTCCGGTCTCTTGTGCCAAACTGCATCATGAAGATGATGGAGAACTTCTTGGTACACAGCACCCCGGTAATAAAAAAAAAAACAATAAGTATCGCATTGCTCCAGCGGCCTCCGTAGTCTAGAGGTAATGTTCCCACCTCATGACTCGTAGTACGCGGGTTCAATTACCCAGCGGAGGTTGTCAAACTTTTAAGGGCAGAAAAACTCAGGGAACAAGTCCTCCGGGAGGGACTTTAAGCCGTGGGTCCTGTGTCGTAGCTTTACGGCACGTAAAAGAACCTCATATCTCCAAAGGAGGTCACTGAGCCAAATTACAGATGTTTCCCGCCCAACAGCAGTCTCTAATACCTCTGGTAGATAGGGGAAGCATTATAGATACCTCTCAGCTAGTAGAGCCGGTCTCGCTGGCTGGGCAGGACTGATGGTAAGCACCAGTACCGGTAGGATATAGAGACTGGTATAAATCATAGAGGGAAGCACAATGGACCAATACAGGTCTAAGTGCATGGGGAAACCACCCTCTCCAATAACTAACTAACTAATCACATTGCTCCGAACATGTCATGCTTTTTTGGGCCTTAGAGATGTTCGATGCTTCATTTGTGATGACTGGACCTTGGTTTCTGGGTCATATCCGTACACCCATGACTCATCACCAGTGATCACAGTCTCCAGGAACTCAGGATCCCTGTTAGCACACTCCAATATGTCCTGCGCGACCTCAAGGTGGAGTTGTTGCTGCTCTGGCTAAAGCAGCTTGGGCACAAATTTTGCTGCCACTCTTCGCATGTCCGAATCCTCAGTTAAAATCGTGTTTGTAGAACCTCTGCTAATCCCAACCTTATCAGCAACTTCCTGGATGGTCATACGAAGGTCTTCCATGATCAATGTCCACACTTGGTCAATGATATCAGCATACTGGTTCATTGAGTCTCCCAGAATGCTGGTTACTGTCGGTTGACATGCAGCCATCCTTAAAGCAGTTGAACCACACTTTAATTTGAGTGAACCCAATTGCATCATTGCTAAAAGCCTGCTGAATTTTGCATACTGTTTCCGCTTGAGTTTCTGACAAAACTTGAGGCAATATTGCTGCTCAAAACGTTCTGTCATCTAGGGCAAAACAAGGATGTGACGAACACGTGTTACACCACTTTGTTATCTGGTAGCAACAGACTAATCTGGAGGTGTTGTGAAGCAGCAAAAAATTATGCATGGCCATGAAAGTCCCTTCTACCACTACGCTCAGTTTCCCCACCCTTTCGCCATTACTTACTGCGGGGAAAAATATAGTCGGATACTTTTGGGACAGACCTCGTACATACACAAATCACATATTGGTATTGCTATTACATATGTATAAAAATTTATCTCCAAATTTCCAAACAATAATCTCTATAAGGGAAATAACTCAGTGCCTTGAATTTCATGACATTGCTGATTTGCTCTATTATTCTGAGCTTCTTAATACACCAAGGACATCAATTCACATTATTGTTCTAGAAATTAGCTGGCCATTATTAAGGATACAGATACAAACAAAAAAAACTCCATGCCTTTAGTCTGCAAGCGAACTATACCGACTGAGTGACCGCCGCTTGTCGGCGAAGTTAGTGCCAACTTTAGCAGATAGAGGGTGTCGCGTGGTCAGCGCAATGAATCCCCACGGCCATTAATTTCGGTTTTCTAGACCGAGGATACAGATACTCAGAGGTTAAGTTAATTTTTCTTATGCACAAAATCATTTCATATAGTGTTTTCCATTTGTCTGTCTATGGTATACCTGCAACACTGATGCACCACAATGCAAGAACTGCAGTCCTGCCTCAGCAGAATCAATACCACCTATTCCCATGATAGAAAACCCTGGGAGTGCACTAGCGATTGCTGAGACAGCTCGCAAGGCAACTGGCCTTACTGCATTGCCTGACACTCCACCATATGTAGTAAGCCTGTCCCTTCCCACTGCAGGCCATGGACTTGCATCTGCCTTCAATCCCATCAATCCTGATAATGTGTTAATAGCAGACACACCATCAGCTCCACCTGCAACCAGAACACAGCTTCAAGTCAAACTACATCTAAATTCCGAGGTTTCCACGTCACACACCTGAGCAGTTCTTTATCACTTTATGGTGACTGTTACTTCCATCTGTGGATTTTTCAATGGAAAGGTTGGGAGCTCATCAACAGAAAACTGCATTTCTTCATAAAATCGCTTTCATATGCATTTCACAACCTCTGTCCACTCAATTTTCTCAATACACTAGTGACTTTAAAATCTCTACTTGTCTAAAATAAACTATGTAACAGTTTAATGTACTTATATTGCCAGGGTTAGTGAAGACTTTCCAGCTTGTGTACCAACATATATACTATATACAGTATGAGACAGTTCATGATTATGTGAGTTCTAGGCATGTGTGTGTCTTATGTCATTTTTCACATCAGAGTAGGTTTCATGCACTTACACAGGCAGCAGCCTTGTGTTTAAAATTGTGCCATCTGAAGAATACAGATTCATATTCATATTTAATGTATCATCCAGAGATCTATATACACATATATAGATACAAAATCTGTCATTGCTTATACTAGAGAACAAAATAATAATATGGTATTTAATCATACAATACAAATCCTACTGGATATCACAAAGTATAAAACATACATATGCATCTATGATAGGCCACATAAAATGTATCACTCACTAAGCCAGGTAACACCATAATAAAATAATTGAATCATTCCCTGTGTTAATGTAAAAAAGATGGAATCAGATGAAGGTATGAAAGGGATAAAGGCAAATAAGAAAAGAGCTGAAGGTTAAAGATATAAAAGTATTACTCCCAGTTGAATTTCAAAGGGATCTTCCACTAATAAATAATAAAACCATGTTGCAGAATGTATTGTAACGTGGTTCATTACTGAAGACGCTGTTCGGACTGTTAACAGGTTTATTTAACAATCTGCAAGTATCGGCTACAATTATTTACAACAATGTTACGGGTTTCCACAGTTTACAAACCCTACACACAAATCTGTCCACTCTACCATGATTCACTCGTTACAACTAAACTCGGTGACTACCACAATTCAATTCAACTCGTAGGCAGCTGTCTTGAGAACTAACTTCGGCGGCTGGTACATTTTAACTTTCTCCGGGGATGGCTACACGTTAACTGCCTTTGGCAGCTGTGTAGTTCCCTTATATAGTCGCAGTGCTGTTGCCTGTTGCCCATGTCGGCATTGCTTGCCATGTCACAGTGCGGAGGGGGGAGGGGGGACGGAGCGCTGACTCACCCGCCACGTCACCGCTGGGTAGGGAGGGGGTGTCCTCCATTGTGCAACATGTCACAGTATTTTCATGCTTAAGAAGTAACTGCTTAAAGTTCTGAAACAGGAGCCATATCTCAGTCTGATAACATTAAGAAGCTCTACATGAAGTCTCCTTCAACATATTGTTCTTCAGCAGCTACATCCACACTTCCTGCAATGCAACTTCAACCTCTGAGAGTCACCACTACACCCACTCCCTCAGACACGAAAAGAAGTAAAAATAGCAAACACTCCTCACATCTATCCTTGTTGACTACAGAACCTTCTGTAATAAACCCATGATACATACGTGGTCCGACAATAAATATCGCGAACTCATTGTGGTAAAAGTGCTACATACCTCATTGCTGAATATCACTGTGGTTGCCTTCAAACTACTATCCTTGGGAAGCTATGCACCGGTACCAGCGCCTAGTCCACCTTTCAAAACAATTCTGGAACTGATTTTGTAGAATGGCCTTCAGAGCTACCACTGTTATTACTCCTGATGTCATCAGTGTCATCAAAATACCTTCCCTTCAATGTGTCCTTTTCTTTAGGAATAGAAAAAAGTCACTGGGGGCTAGATCTCGTGAACAGCAAAGTTGTTTGTTTACTAGGTAAAAGCTCCCTCACAGACAGTGTTCTTCGGTGAGCTCCTTTGAGACCATTTTTGCATACACCTTACTCATGTCAAGATCTTCAGTTAAGATTTTCCTAACTTTTCTGTCGATGTTTGCTTGCTCTGCTATACTCCTGACAGTCAGCTGATGATTTTCAAGCATAATTTGATGAACTTTAGCAATGTTTTCTTCAGTTCTGCTCGTTGCTGGCCATCCTGATCTCTCTTTGTCACTGACACCTTCTCTTCCCTCAGAAAAACGTGTCACCCATTTGTAAACTGCTGTCTTCTTCATAGCATTATCCCCATAAACTTGCACTAAAATCTCTCTGATTTCACTTCCACTCTTGCCAAGTTTAACAAGAAATTTAATGTTTGTTCATTACTCTAATTAAAGCTCCGACATACTTGTGTTAATGTTACTTGTGTGACCTTGTGTTAATGGCTACGGAAGAAACTGTGCCACAGAGCATGATTGATAGACTAATTGAAATTGGAAGGTGCTATGGCATGAAAATGAATGTGGAAGAAACGAAAGTAATGAAAATTTCGAGACAACCAACCCCAGTCACAATAAAGATAGACCAAAAACAACTGGAGAATGTGAAATGTTTTAAATATTTGGGTAGCTTGTTAACAGATGATGGAAGGTGTACTTGTGAAATTAAATCCAGGATTGCCATGGCAAAAGCTGCATTTAGCAAGAAGAAGAATCTTTTTACCAGCAAATTGGACTTAAATTTGAGGAAGAAACTAGTGAAATGCTACATTTGGAGCATAGCTCTGTATGGGGCTGAAACATGGACACTTAGGGCAGTAGATCAGAAACATGTGGAAAGTTTCGAAATGTGGTGTTGGAGAAGGATGGAGAAGATCAGTTGGACCGATTATGTGAGAAATGAAGAAGTGTTAATTAGAGTCAGTGAGCAGAGGAATATCCTACATGAAATAAGAAAACGGAAGGCTAATTGGATTGGTCATGTTTTACGCAGAAACTGCCTTCTAAAAGAAGCTATCGAAGGAAAGATAGATGGGCGGATAGAAGTGACAAGAAGACGAGGAAGAAGACGTAAGAAGATGCTGGATGACCTTGGGGACAGAAGAGGATACTGTCATTTGAAGGAGAAAGCTCTAGATCGCATTAAATGGAGGAATTGTTTTGGAAGAGACTGTGGACCTGTCGTCTTGACAGATTACTGATGATGATACTCACTACGGCACACCAAAACACACTCAGACAATAATGGACGCCACTCAGAAAGAGATTGCCATAGATCATTAACAACATAGCCGTGAAATGCTGATATGCTAATATCATCAAACCATACTGAGGTTTCCTTCCGCTGCTGGCATGGCAAGCACAGAGTGGCAATTTCGCAAACTTTATTGTCAGACCTCGTAATGCTCTGTCAGTCAGCAAAGAACTTCATTATTACCTTCACTTTCGAGTGTTCCTGTCAGGACTTTGTGGCTCTTGGTAAGAATGCTAATTTCCAGATATTTAGTTCTCAAGTTTACATTTTTCGATGAAGATTTTGACTGTCTCTTTCGAAAATTCTTGAAATATTAATATATAAAAGAGTACTGACCTTCCTAAACAAACACAACATGATACCTGAGGCTCAAAAGAGCTTCAGAGAGAAGAAATCTAATACAGGAACACAAACCTTTATAGAGGATATCAGAAAGCATTAGATAATTGGCTATTAGTTATGGGCATATTTTTTAAATTTAACTAAGGCCTTTGATATAACATAGCATAAGCTACTGCTTGCCAAATTGGAGCTGTATGAACTTAGAGGAAAAATACACTCATGGATGAGTTTCATAATTCTTTGTAGTTACAACTGGTAGTTATCCGGTGTTATTCTGTAAATGCCATTATATAGCCTCCACACACACTGTCTCTAATGTTGACTAAACTTGTTTACTGTGCCTTGCCTAGAAATAGAAAGCTCTTTGCTTGTTGTTGGCCAAGAATTTTTCTTCGTGGGAACATGTTTACATAGCAATGGCTATACATGTCACAATATCTTACTGGCAGAAATCAGTTTGTGGAAATACAGCAATCAGATGAAAAGACCTCAAAAATAAACACATATACTTCTTCATGTAAAGAAATAAAATATGGTGTACCTCAGTGTTCTGTCTTGGGACCCCTTTTGTTCTTGTTGTTTATGATGAAACAATTACAAAATTGGTTCTTGACAAATAATCTTATAATAAATATGGAAAAGACTAAAGCAATACTATTTCAGGAAAGAGGATTTAGATTAATTCATGGACCTGTTCTATATTTAAATAACAAATTCATTTATCAAATTTAAAATTTTAGGTATTTACATCACAGAAAATGTAAGCTGGGCCAGTCATATACAATACCTTTGTCAAAAATTCAACATCAGTGTTTGGTAAGATATTAACAAGAGGATACTGATCAAAAAGGAATGGTATTGTACACTGTCTTGCACATTGTTTTGTAGATTTTTTAAGATTGCCTCTGTGGTCTAGTGGTCACAGTTCCTAGCTACAGATCCAGAAGCCCTGGGTTCAATTCCCAGCGCTACCAAATTTTCTGAGAAGTAGTGGGTCTGGAACGGGGTCCACTCAGCCTAGTGAGGATAAATGGAAAAGGAGTGGCTCCGGTCTAGAAAACCGAAATTAACGGCTGAGGGGATTAGTTGCACTGACTACATGACACCCTGTACCCGCCGAAGTTGCCACTAACTTCACTAACAAGCAGCAGTTGCTTGTGGACTAAACCCACGGAGTTTGTTTCTTCACTGTTATATTTTTTAAGAGCTGTTGACATGTAGTGTTTGGTTGCTTTCAACTGACTTTTACAATTGTGCCTGTGTAACAGTTATGGATGTTAAACAAATTATTATTATTACACAAAACACCACATTCCATTACAGCTCTCAATCACACAGAAAATTCTAGATCATTATTAGCTGTTGTGTTGATCATCTCACCAGTGGTCTTTAAGTACCCCTTCAGTATTACTGCATCAGCATTCTTGGTACAACAATGTGTTGTGGGCTGCGGCTATTACATATAAAAAATTCTTCACTTTCCCTGCCATCAGTTCTACCACTTGATAATAATCAGAAGACACAATCTCCTGCAGTCTGAATCATATTTAATGCATTCATGATCATCTTCATACCTCTCATACCATTCAGACACACTGGAATGGGACATGTCTGTTCATTAAAATGAATGTCATAGTCAAGTGTGTAGGACAGCATTCCTGCTTTGTCTGGGGTTCAAATCTTTAGCCTGGAGACCAACTGTCCTGACTAAGGATTTTGAAATTTCTCATACTCTCCCTCAGTTCCTTGAGGCAAATGCCTGGATCACAGGCGATGACACCTTCCTTCCACATGTCTTTCAATTCATTATTCACTAAACATTCTACCATTCGACACTACATAGTATGAGATGCTGACAGCACATGTAAATAGATAACAATTGTTCCCTACACACAATCTGAAATACGTGCTGCATTTTCATTGCCAATTTTCCTAATCTCTGTCAAAATTCAGAGTTAGTGGCTATTCAAGATCATCCATTTCCCCACTTCAAAACCCTCCACATACCATGTTTCTCCTCCTCATGAGTCAATCACATATGCTAGCCTAACAGCAAAGGAATGCTTCTACCCATGTCTTCATGTGCATAAGCTTCAGCCTACATACCACACAGTCACCACATTTACATCTGTTCTACATCTTTAAGATATTCAGCATAACAGAAAAAGCAAAGAAGATTGCTTTCATTCTATTAGTAGCACATCAAAATCATTTCATTATTGCTGATAACACAATCACCCTACTCTATTATAAGAACCTCCCCACAGTGCATTATAAAGACCTCAGTCTGCTGCATTTTTCTGCAACTGTGGTTTGTTCTTTTTCAATTTGGATCCACTGGTAAAAATTCCATGAAAAAAACTAATTAAGTGGATAACTAATAAACTTGCTGGTAATAGAACCTTAAGTTTCAACACTAACACTAGAACAAGCTATCTGAGCCAGTTTTATCCTACTGACGCACTCATAAAATACGCAGAGACTTCAATAAGTAAGGGAAAATGGCGTTATATTGAGATGCACATCATATATACAGATCCAAATAAGATGTTATTTGTTGCTGTCTCATCAAAAAATGCAGGGCAAATCATGATATAAAGATACAAAACAGATGTTTTGAAAATGTGGCACAGTTAAGATATTTCAATTCAATTCAATTCAATTCAATTCAATTCAATACTTTATTATTAATGTGCCGAGTCAACAGCCGCAAGGCCAATTACAGACTCAGCACAGTGTAGATGACTGAATTACATTACATACAAACTTATTAGAAGTCAAATACAAAATACAGTTAAGTAATTGGAAGAAATAATAACGAATAAATGTAAAAGTAAACAAACAAATAAGCGATAATTATAACAGTAATAATAATTCCATTATCATTAAACTAAGTGCTATTACGAATAGAGGAATGAAACATTAATATTTAATCAAGAATTAAATAGTATAGATTTTCTGAGGAAAANGCAGGTAATGCTTGCTACCATACAGTCCAGAACCTTTTTTCTTCTTGTCTGCTGTCCAAAAACAATAAAATTAGAATATACAAAACTATAAATCTGCTTTGGCTCTGTATGGGTGTGAAACTTGGTCTCCGACATTAAGGGAGGAACACAGGCTCATAGTGTTTGAGAAAAGGGTGCTGAGGAGAATATTTGGACCGAAGAGAGATGAAGTGACAGGAGGTTGGAGAAAACTGCACAGTAAGGAGCTTCATAACTTGTACTCTTCTCCAAGTATAATTAAAATGATCAAGCCAAGGAGGATGAAGTGGGCAGGTCATGTAGCACGAGTGGGGGAGATGAGGATTGCATATAGGATATTGGTGGGAAAGCCAGAAGGAAAAAGACCACTGGGAAGACCAAGGCGTAGGTGGGTGGACAATATTAAAATGGATCTTAGAGAGAGAGGATGGGATGGTATGGATTGGATTGATCTGGCTCAGGATAGGGACCAGTGGATTGCTTTTGTGAAGATGGTAATGAACTTTTGGGTTAAGTCACCATTCTCTGCAATGCACTTTTCACATCTTTCAACAAGCTTCTATTTTCCAGTAGAAAACAAAAATTTTTGGTTGCTGTCAAAGCCAGAAATGCACAGTCTCCTCTGCCTTGTTGTCACTGTGAAATCTTCGTCCTCGCAATGCTTCTTTAAGCGTGGCAAACAAATGATAGTCAGATGGAGAGAGGTTTGGATGGTGGTAACTGTTGCAGCAGCAGTGTGTGATCACACATTCTCATGGAGAAGAAGGACATTTCTGGACAGAAGTCCACGATGACAGTGAATTGCAGGCTTCAGTTTCTCTTCCAGTATGGCGTTGTACCTTAAACTGTTGAATGTCTCTCCTTTCTCCTAACAGTGTTCAAGAATTGGTCATTAATATCCCAGAACAATGTCAGCATGAGTTTACCAGCAGAGGGTGCCGACTTGAATGTTTCTTGGCATGAGAGGAAGTGTGTTGCCATTCCATGGATTATCTTTTTGATTCTGGTTCACAATAATGAACCCAGGTTTACATCCCCCACGATAATGCGCACAAGAAACTCTTCGCCCTCAGCATAGGAACATGTCAAGAAAGCTCTGCAACTCAATCCACAGAAATCTGCCTGTTCTCACCAATAAGTGTGTCCATGTGGGCAACATTCGCATCACTGACAGCTGTGCACAGGCGACCTGAGCAATGTTCATCAGTGACAGATGTTTGGTCTGAACCATTCTTCTGTGAATCTCCCTCAATTTCGCTCCTTCTGATGACAAAAGTATTATTACATAATGCCACTCCTCTCTGGTGCAATTTTCTGGCAGGGCGGCCATGATTCTTGCACTGTGGTTTGTATCACACTTGTCCTGTCATCAGTTGCATGCTGTCAGAACCTGCCCTGTAGATATCTCTATATGCTGTAGTAGTTTCATATGGTTGTGTCCCATCCTATCAAATATCCGGTCTATCTGCCATTACTTAATGAAGTCCCCTCATATTTCTCTCAAATCCATCACATTTTCTCTCAGCTTCTTTTTCCTTCTTTCAAATATCTATATTCCAACAGGTTTCACTATACATACCTTGTTTCCCTCAATTTAAGAATATGGTAACACAGAGAACAGCACTTGCACACTGTCACAGCTGAGGTTCTCAAAATGACTACGAAGAGTACTATCTTCTGGAATGTGAGTCCATACAGTCTGGCAGAAGTTACCAACCTCTCCTGCCTCCATTTTCTGGGTCAAAGACTAAGACAACCAAGCAACAAGCAGGAAGCAGAGTGCTGAATGATCTACCAGAACTACGTGACATCACATCCCAAAAGATAGTCCTCTTCAGCACTGGTACATATCATATGCTGAAGTATGTCACTCTGTTCTTCAGTTTGGTGAAGATTAAGGCAGAAGATTCTAAGAATTCAACACAGTTCCTTTCCTGTAGAAAGATAATTCACTTATTTGTTTGCATATATCTAGTTATATGTCACAGCATAAAACAATCATGGTAGTAATTAATTTTTCACAATAACTGTTTGTTAAAAAAAAGTTGTACATAAATAGTACACAGATCATTTCACATTAATGACCATGTTTATTTATCTTCATACCTTCATAAGCTGCTCTTGCTATGGATACAATATCTGTGATGTTCGGTGTGATTTTTATAAAGAACGGAATTTTTATAGCTGCTCTCACCCATCGGCAAATGTTGAGGACAAGTTCTGGATCCTATACACCATAAACAAATGTTACATATTATGCCTCTCCCCATTGCTTTAATGTTACTCTAGATTATGCCTTCAGGAAGGCCTAGAGCTGAAGTACTAGTTTGTTCTGATGATGTTAACTTGTTGGAAGGAAATAGCATGAATTTCAATGCAGAAATTATCCTCCTAAAGGCCAACAATGAAATCTATAAGCAAATTAAGTATAAAACTAAGCACATGTACCATGACACAGAACCAAAGTCATAAATATTACATGTAATACATCATCTGAGAATGTTTCAAAATGTTCCTGAGAAAAATAATGGATGAAATTAGGTTTAATATGAAATTATGAAAAAAAAAAATAAATTTAGGAAATGTTTGTTATTTTTCAGTTCAGAACTGTTATCATGAAGTCTGCCTTCCAGAACACAAAGTACTAAGAGATACACACAGACAATGCTGCCACTTGTGGTCTCTTCCTCTGATGGAATAAAGAAAAATTACAAGCTGAAATGTAAAAAACTAGGATGGCTGGACATATGCCTAGGACATGGGAGATAGATGAACTCTGGCCAACAAACTTCTTGGAAAACAACCACTTCTAAGACTGAAAAGGAGATGGATGGATGACATGAAGCTGGATCTTAAGGAAATTTGTTGTGATTATGGGAGGAGATTGTAACTGGCTCATGATCATATTCAATGGCAGGCTTTAATACAGCTGTGTTACATCTTTGGGCTCTTACCAGAGAATTAGTCACTTAATGAGTCAGTTTCGAATGAACAACAAAAATGACGTACTTTATAGTGTCTAAATATACCGCATATATTTGAGGCACCCAATCACTGAAGAGGATGCTTTACCTGACCACATGCCAGCCCCATGCCTGATTCACCCATCCCGTGTGGACATGACAAGTTGAGTTCAAGAGCATCTGCCCCAGATGTTTCTGCTCTTTGGCAAAGTTCTGTCCAGTCTGAGGCGCTGTAGGAGCACATTACACTTGCAATCACAATCTGGAAAAGGGTTAATATAATCAGCAACAGAAAGAAGAGAATGAAACAGGTATACGATACCACATATCAGATTGGAGAATTATGATCTTATAACAAAGTACATTATTAGGAGAAGGGTTTGTACCTTGGACCACCTTACACCGTGACCGATCTTAGACATTTGGTTGTTCACGGTGGAAAATTTGGGAGGGATGGAGAAAAAGGTTTGGGGATAGGAAACAACATATCACAATTACTCATTTTAGGCCTTCACAGTAATTAATTCTTGACAGTAATTCCACTCTTGCATTGTTGTCTTGTGTGGTTGTGGGTGATGTTCCTAATAATTCGGAGGTACATCCTACTTAATCTTCAGTGTCATGCATGAGTTTATGTGTATACAGAGGATACTGTTTCAAAAAATGGAAGAAGGGCAAGAAAGTGGGGATTTGTGCCTCATCTGGTACAACAGGGACAGCACCTAAGGAAAGTTGTGCAACCAGCCGAGGTGAGGGCAACTGATGTTACCCATCCAAATGTCTAGGCTTCTGTGCTGTAAGTTGACTGGTTTGGAGATGGTGGCCAGGTTTTAGTGGGGAAAGGGAGGAGGGAATGGGCCTGGACAGGGAATAGGTTCAGACCCTCTCCTTGTCCAGCTAAAGAAATAACAGATTTGAGAGGAATATTCTTCTTCATTACGTGAGCAGTACACAAACAATTTTAGGACTTAATTTTATTTATTACCTTGTGCACATGTTACAATAATTTTATCATTCTATTTATGTACAGTCACCTTCCATTTCCATACACTGTTTTCCATTAGAACATAAGTTCGACAAATCCATCTATGCACACTTCTTTTGAAGGAATGTATTGAAATTTCTATTCTTGTTGCACAGTGCCTCTAATTTTGGCTTAATGAGTGAGACTTCCCAGTTCTCACTGAAGCAGACTGCAAAAGTACTATGATCAGTAACCGTCAAATCCACTTCAGCATTTAAAGGCTATTTCAAGATTTTTCAATTTGTTATCTTCTCAGGTCCAAACTTAACACTTCGCGGACCGGCAATTTAAATATTTAAATCACCCTGGAGACCAGCATTTTTAAACCTACTACCCTAACTTGTGCACTGTTCACTTTAAAAATTAATATAAAATCTCCTAATTAATTTTATGAACTAAAATTTTTGGAGAACACTTATCAATGCTCCTAGAAGTGCTTGAGAGTGTGATATTTCTGGAAACATTCCCCTTTATGAAGTGGCATTACACAGAACTTGCACATGTACAGTCATACTCCTTTTGTTGTGTACTTCGCAAACACGGCATCGCCTTGAAGGCTGCTTCCCCTTGGCATGTTCACTCTTCACACTTTTCACGAGGGTATGTTTCCACATATCACCCGAGAGTTGCCCAGGGGGGGTCCACATGAGGCGTGAGTGGGGTGGGAGTTGATGGACCCGGTCACACTAAGTCTGTGTCTGCTGCCGGTTCTGCCACCACAGTCTGGTCTGTAGCCCAGGCTTTTGTCACATTCAGCAGAACTGTCTTTTATTTCAATTTTGAATGAGGGTTTAGATTTTTGAAAACCAAAAATGAATTGAAAATGGCACAATTTATAAGCCACAAGGCAACTTTCTTTGTCCACTTTACTGTTTTCCAAGGAAGAGAATAATAGGCCAAGTACTGATCGGCTCTATCAACTCCCTTCATGAACATATTATACTCAGAAATACAAACAGACTTCTCTACCTGTCCATGTCTCCTTTGAACAACAACCATGCCTGAATTGTGAATTGTGGAAATCATATTCACAACATGAGTATCCCTTCAGGACTGAAGAAGAATATCCCCCTATCTCATGAATGTGGTTTCACCATGTTTCAGGGATTTACATTCCTCTTTCAGATCTGGAAGAAGGCCTCTGTTCACCCTGATTGTTCCACAAACATGTACTTTTCTCAAAAGTAGGTGTTCTGCAGATGCCACACTGTTACAATAATTGTCTTGATAGACATGGTAATTTTGATCAAGATAGGGTTCCAAAACATAAAGAATAGTTTCTTGTAATTTCTTTCCTTCACCAGAATAAATTTCTAAATTTCCAATATAGCCTGAAGTGCTTTCACTAACTACATGAACAAGTAGGCCATAAGTTTCCCAAGATTATATGTTCGCATACGAAGCCTTCCCCTTCAAGGAATCACAGATTCATCCAAAGACAGTTGCTGGTTTGGCTTATAAACTGTCTGAAATTTCTGAACGAAAAAGTTCAATAAGGGCTGAATTTTGAAAAGCCTGCTTGTTGATGGTGTTTGCAGTTCATTATCATTGAAATGCAAACACCACCGAATTTGCTCAAATCTCTTACAGCTCATTAGTTTGCCAAAAACTGGAATTTCTAAAAATGGATCTGTTGACCAATACTCTTGTCAGATTTTCCCTCCTTGTATGGCCCATTAGAAAGATTGCAAAAAAATTTCTCACTTCTGCTGAAGTGACATCAACCCACTTCAACGCCTTATAACTTCTGTCATGATGTTCACAGTGTTGGAGATAGTCTCTGTTAGTTTCCTAACATAGCATGTCAAACGAACTATCTCCAAAAAACAGTTCCACTACTTCAGGAACTTGTGTTGGGTCCGATGGAATTTGCTTCACCCCTGGATTTCCAGTAAACTGTCCCAAAGCAGGCGTTTTGTCTACTTTTCCCCATGTGGCTATGCCCGCAATGTTGCTGCCCGCACATTCGTTGGAGCTACAGTCACTTTCACTTTCAGTGTCTGTGGTCACAATTTTTTGTTTGCCCCTGCCACACTCACTATCAGATTGTGAGTCGCTATCACTAGCAGACTCACAAGGGACGTCAGATAGCTCATTGGAGAACAAGTCAGATATTTCTTGTTCTCCAAGAAAACGCTTGGACCTCAACTTCTTCCGACCTTGATCCATTTTGCACTAGCAACTTCCTACCTGGTGCATGCAGCTGGAAGATGAACAAAGGCATTTTCTTTTGGAGTGGGAAAGGAAAACAGTTGGATCATAAACAGCGGGGTCATGTTACTGACTACGAAGCAAACATTCAAGAGGTCTATCACACACCAGTCATGCGTCTGCCTGGCGCCAGTGCAAGGTATAGTGTGTTTCAACATAACATGTCCTAAAATCATAATAATATGCCACCGGTCTGCTACGTTTAAAAGCACTGGGCATAAAAATATGCCACCAGTCTGCAAAGTGTTAATTGTTCTTGGCAGCACAGCATTCATGAAAAAAGTTCCATTATGACCAATCTGGTTAATTTCCATGCCTTCAGACAGGTAAGTAAAAAAAAACTGTTCACTTTCATTTAATATTTCTTGCATCATCCTGCATAATTTCCCTTTACAAAAGCTTTGCAATTTTGCAGTTTCCTTAGGATATGTCAATTTTCTCCACAGCCACTTAACAAAGAGATAATCATTTGTTCATATCTGTGATATCCTCTGACATTCATAATTCATGAACATATTCATTACTGACATATGTCATAAGAAATACTATGGAAGGTAAGGCCACATAATCTGGTAGTAGTTTACTTTCTCAAGTTCTACCAGATTATGTGGCATCATATCCCAAACAACAGTAGCATTCATAGCCACAGCTGTGAGAATCTCATATATGTGACAACAGTGTACCTCTTACCTGTGGGTGAACTGAGCAATCATATATACTGACAAAGTACAGAATTCCTGTTTTGAAACTTGATGAAGGTACAGCTATTTCTATATCCTTTACTTGTAGAATAAGCACTATCTGTTGTCTTCTGGAATATGTTCTGTGTAATCTGGTAGGTCATCATCAATGTTTCAGAGGAATTTGCTACCTCTAACTACCCTGAAGATGCTGGCAGAATATTCCTATGAAACACCACTATCAATCTACAACAATACACAGCATGACATCCCAGATGACAATAATCTTCACAGTCACAGTTGTGAGAACTTCAAATATCTGAAAGCATTACCTTTAATTACAAGCTGTGTAACGATTTTGTATGAATGTTCCCAGTTACTGAATATCTCAAGTGGCCTCCGTAGTCTAGAGGTAACGTTCCCACCTCATGACTCGTAGTACACGGGTTCAAATACCCAGTGGAGGTCGTCGAATTTCTAAGGGTGGAAAAATTCAGGGAACAAGTCCTCTGGGAGGGACTTTAAGCCGTGGGTCCCGTGTCGTAGCTTTACGGCATGTAAAAGAACCTCATATCTCCAAAGGAGGTCACTGAGCCAAATTCAAGGACGTTTCCCGCCCAACAGCAGTCTCTAATACCTCTGGTAGATGGGGGAAGCATTATAGATACCTCTCACCTAGTAGAGCCGGTCTCGCTGGCTGGGCGGGACTGATGGTAAGCACCAGTACCGGTAGGATATAGAGACTGGTAGAAATCATAGAGGGAAGCACAATGGAACAGTACAGGTCTCAGTGCATGGGGAAACCCACCCTCTCATAACTAACTAATTAATATCTCAGGGTATTTTTTCTCTACATTTAAAAATGTTGAGTATCATTATTACGCTAATTTTCTTTTTTTCTGTCCTAGGTTTCATATGCAGCACATAATTCAGTCCAAATCTTATCTGTCTAAAGTTAAACGACTCGAAAGAAAATTTTCAGCCTTGTATTATGACAGATTTTGAACGGTATATGTGACAATAAATATGAAGGCACACTAGTTAAGTTAAATATCCTTTCATCACTGCATTCCAGGTGAAAGTACCCCAATGCCCTACTTCTTATACATATTTTTGAAAGGTAAATCATCAATCCACCTGTTTCATATATCCTATAAGGTTAATCAAAGACTTCCCATTATTTAACGTACACAGCTACTATCAGGCCGGTCCCATAACAAAACATCAACATCTTCAAGAAGTACTGACTTCATGTACCAGTATCAGTGTTTCTCACATACATTGTTCACTAGTTTACATCATAATTTGCGTTTCCATCTTTGCTTCTCATATCCACCATACTCTCACCACTTTTCTCACACACCATGTGCTGATCAGCAGCATTAGTCTGACAGGAACACTCACAGCAATACAATCTCGTACAGGTTCTCTTCTGACTCTATGTAACATTCACTTTACTTCTGCTATAAACTCACTGCCACATCTATGATACCAAGTGAGAAAGCTAACAGGCAATGAGCAGTTCCAAATTAAAGACTGAAAATAAGAATTGTTGATAATTTTGAATCTGACAAATAAGCATTTGACATCTTATATGAATGAGGAATATCACAACAGTATGAGCTATAGCTGATAAACAAAAACATGAAGGCTTGCAAAATTAGCCGTGTCTGGCACAGCTAAATGTTTCAGAATCAGAAAAAAATGTTTTGTTGAAAATGGAGAACTTATTATTAGGAATATTGTATCATTGCATCATACTGTTGTATTATACTGTTGTTCTTATTTTGCTTACATGTTTTAGCCTTTCAGCCATCATCACGTCTTGTACATGTACAATGATGTAAGCTTTTAATATACATATAGTATATCTGTACACACATTGATTTCACAGAAAACAAAATAATAAAAGTTGGTATTAATTTGGATTTGTCATAAACAAGCTAGGAGCTAACATGAATTTCACATTGATGAGGCAGAGGGCTAAGAAAATTTTGACAATCTCAAAAGCAGTGAGAGAAAATGCCATACTGAATATTTTGCATGTAATGGCTCATTCAATAAATTTAAATTTAGGACTGGAATTCATTTGGTTGTGGATCAGCAAGTGTACATATCCAAGCAGCAGTGTTTTATCAGTGAGAATGCATGAATTACTGAGGAACTTGGATAAAATTCTGAACAAGTTTCCAACAAAAATGAAATGAGGTTTTTCTGAAATAAGATGTCCAACAAAAGACTTAGCACAAAAGGAGAAGAAGATATTTCCTGGTCATAAGCTCTCTATAGATGAGAACACATATGGAAGCTAAAATTTCCACTTGCTTCTGCTGTTCCTTGATTCACTCACTCTTTGACCGTTAGGATGGAGGCAACATATTCCTGTGAAAAACATCAGGCTCTCTCTAAACATCACAATGTTACAGCCCTGAAGACCACACTCTTCACAGCCACCATCATGAGAACCTCAAATCCAACAAGAAATCTTGCAGTTAATGAGGCCTCCTCATTCCAAGAGTGGTTCTGCCATTATTTTTGTCCTGCAGTAAAGATCTATTTCAGGAAGACCAACTTGACACTAAATGCTTGAAGGAAACATTGGTGAAAACAAACCTAATTCAAGGGAATGAATCTTGGAAAGGTTTAATTGTTAAGAATGCTATCAACATCACTGTAATAGCCCAGAATAAAGCCCATTCATAGTGCATGAATGTTGCATGGAGAAAGTTATGGCCTGTATGTTTTGCTGATTCCCCTGCATACCAAGAGGAGAAACCTTTAAAAAATGCAGGAAAGGGTTCTTAAGCTGGAAAGCATTTAGGCTTAAAGTCAAAATTTCTTATGCAAAAGAACTGTTACAGGCACACACTGAAGAGCTCAACATGCAAGACCTGGTTCAAGTAAGTTAATTCAAGACCTCAGATGAGTCACTTGAAGATCAGGCAGTGACTTACATGAAAACCTGAATAAACAGATCCTCCAGGGTCATTAGGAATGTGGAAGCTTGCCTTCACTGCTACAAGGAAGACATGAATGAGTAAAAAGTCAGAATGCAGTCAACTGTAGGCTCATTTTGCAAGAAGAAAAATTATGGCTCAACTTCTGGACTGTAAGTCCCTGACATGAAGAGGGGAAGTGATTCTTACTTTAAGCAGTATTATAAACTAATATACACACTGCATATTTAAACTGATAACATTATTGATAAACCAACGTTCATTACCGTTTATTACCCCAAACAAATGAGTTTCAGTGCTCTACTTTATGATTCTCCTGAAAAAATTACCAACATAATGCACAAGAAACTGCTCTGCAGCCATCATTCCTTATTGATCACACTTTCAAGGAACCAATTAATGACTGGTTTCAAGGCCCTACTGTACAATTAATCATGTAATAACAACAACATCCTGCTGCACAATAGTAACTGTGCTCAGGAATCTAGCAGAAATAGGCTCCTGGATAAGTTAAGAGAATGTTCAATATTTTCTGATGGAAAAACAGCATTTTATCTCATATTTATATCTGAAACATATAAAATAGTGGCTTCATCCACTTCTTTATGATATCTCTAATTCAATTCAGTCATTACCTTGTCTGGAAAGTCCTTCTTCAGCTCTGCTATACTCTGACACCAATATGCACAACATTTCTCTGAGATGAGCTCAATGTTCAGGAAGGAGCCCTGCTGTGGACCATACTGGTGACCTGATGTTGTTCCTCTCACAATTCTTGGTGAAACATTAGTCACAAGGTCCTGTAGCAATAAGTCAGCAGAAGTGTGATTCGTAAGAAAATGATTCTAACATTCAGTCATCATGAGATACAAACAGACATGCCAGTTCTTTGACCAGAATGTGGTTGCTTTCCTATAAGTACCATAACACTAAATAACTTTCCCGGGGAGTAAAGCGCGGCCGGTAGGTAAGGCTGACAACCTTACTACCATCGTTGAGCTGACTGTCTAGATAATTGGGACCCACAACGTCTCACAACCCTATGGGCCTTCACGGCCTGTTACAGGGATAGCTTTACTTACTTTTTTTTACTTTTTACCATAACACACAGCAACTAAATCTCTAATGAAGGCCTCACACTCAGATTAAACTGAAGTATATTCATGTATTTTTCTTTCAGACAAGGAAAATAAGTATTTTCATTCTTACATAAAATTACATTATAATTATTTACATTCTTACATAAATTTACATTATAATTATACATGCACATACACATTCATGTGGACCTGGAGAGTATCATGGTAGGAAATTTCACTTAATTACTACATGGAATAAAGACACTTCAGTATTCTTCACATTCACACAGAAAGCTACTGATGACTGATTCAAAATCTCCATTTTAATTCATAAGACCGCCTTTGATTGTTAATCAAAGATGTTTGGAAATGTATATATAGCACAGTAGTTACTTAATAACCTCAAATCTGTATGACTTAAGAAAAACTGCACTGAGTATAAAATGTGTGTCCTGTCTTGAGGTGTTCCTTACAAAGCATAAAATCTGTGCAATCAGTAGACTTTTGGTGCTTACTGGACAACAGACAAATCTTTCTGAAGAGTACAGCTCTTGACAAAATCAACATTTTGGATTTGGGCACCTGGTGCATATACTGTTGTTATGTTCCCAAAAATACTATCTGTGACACTTTATTTCGGTAGATGGTTTCCAAAAGTTACTAAAATTTAATAAAAATCACTGTAGCATTTTTTTTTTTGTGCGAAAATTGACATTGTGTTTTGGATGCTCATCTGAAGGGCCCTTATTTTTGGAGGTCTGAGTGTTTTTGCCATTTCTCTTCCATGACTTAATCAAGTTATTATTTGATTAAGATGATTATTAGACATTTACTCATATTAATTTATTATGGTTTACAAATTTACTTGTGGCTTACACTTTTGGCCATTAATTCAGCTATAATTTATGATATACTTAATGTTGTGTTTGTTTTTCTTGTACATGCAAGCCCATCAGAGTAGGGTTCTGACAGCTGTTTTTCTCTCACTTATCTTTGAGTTGGAAGCTAAGAAGCAATATGCCCAGCAGGATGAAGCTTTGCTGATGTGGGCTTGCTGTGCTTGCCAACAAGGAAAACATACAATTTTTAATAGCACAGTTAAACCAGTCTTATTCGCAGATGACACTAGTTTGGTGATTAGTAGCAATAATAACTTACAATATAATAGGGATGTGAATATCTCTTTTGACTGCCTTAATGAGTGGTTCAAGTCAAACCTGCTAACCCTAAACTTCAGTAAAACTAAACATGTGCAATTTGCGGCTAAG